CCTTTCTTCATAGTACCTTATCCTGTCCTTTTCCCAATCCGATATCTCCTCCCTACCTTCCTCTCTATCCTTTATCTCCTCCCAACATAATCTCGCTATCTCGCTACCTTCCCCCCTTTCCAATCGTTCCTCAAACCTCCATGCCCTTTGCCCCGCCCTACCTCTCAAAAGTTCTCTCTGTACTTCCTCCCTCACCATATACCCCGGAGTTCTCCAATCCACTCCCAGTAACCATCTTATATACCTCTCTTGCATTCTCTCCACATTATTTCATTCCTTCCAACCCCATACCTCCACTCCATATCCCACTACCGGCCATACCAACGCGTCGAATAGCCATATCTTTCTACTCCAATCACCGCCAAACCTCCTCTTTCCAATCCCCCACACCTGTCCCATAATTGCCGCTCCCTTCCTCACTCTTTCCTTTACCTGCGCCTCCCTCCCTCCATTTCTCTGAAACACATATCCCAGATATTTAAATTTCTTCACCTCCTCTAATCTCTCTCCCTTCCACCACCATTCCATCTTTTTCTCTCTCCCTCCTCCTCTTCTAAATCTCATCACCTTCGATTTCTTCACATTNAACTCCAGACCCTTCTTTCTTAAATACTTCTCCACTCCTCTCAACATTCCCCTCATTCCATCTTCCTNCTCCGCCAACAGCACCACGTCATCNGCGTACGCCAAANANTATATCTTCCTCCCNTTCACCTTTACCCCTCCCCATCCATTCCTACNCAGGTACTCTTCCAAATCCGCCGTCATCAAATTAAACAGGCATGGGCTTAGTGGGCAACCCTGCCTCACTCCCCTACCCGTCCAGAACTCCTTCCCTAACTCCCCTCCCGCCCTCGCCCTATTCCTCGTTTCCCTATATAGTTCTCCACACCTCCTCACCAATCCCTCTCTAACCCCCCTCCTCCTCATTTCTCCTAACAGCGTCTCCCTGTCGACCGTATCAAAAGCTGCTCTCAAGTCGACAAAGAACGCCACTAACTTTCCTCCTTTCTTACTTACGTTCTTTCCCGCCAAATAATTTACCACGTAAATATTGTCCAAAGTCCCCCTTCCTCTCCTGAACCCTGTCTGGTTCTTCGGTACCAATCCTTTTCCCTCCACTTCCTCCCTTAATCTTTCTGCCAATACCTCTGCATATATTTTATACAACGTCCCTGCCAGTGTCACTCCCCTATAATCTTCCACCTTATTACCTTCTCCTTTTTTCAATACCGGCACCACTATCCCCTCGTTCCACTCATCTATCCATCCCTCCCCTTTCCATATTTTCTTACAGATATTCCACACCCACTCTTTCATTTTTACCCCTCTATATTTCCATACTTCTGCCGGAATTCCATCACTTCCCGCCGCCTTTCCTTCCTTCAACTTCTTAATCGCCTTTTCGACTTCCTCCTTTCTTAAATCCTCCTCCTCATCTCTCTCTCTCTCTTTCCCCTCTCACCACTTTCCACTCCACTCCTCTCAATTGTTCCCTAATATAATCCCCCCAATCCTTTATCCCTATCCCAACTCCCCCTCCCCTCCTTTTCCGCCTTTCCCTTCTCACCACCTCCCACATTTGCCCCATCGTCTTTGCCTTCTTCACCTTTTCCTCCCACATCCGATTCTCCTCCTCTCTCTTCGTTTCGCACAGTATTTTATATATCCTCTTCTTTTCCTTGTAATCTTCTTTACATCCCACCCCATTTCTCCATTTTCTTAGCTCTCTTCTTACCTTCTTTTTCTCCTCCCTACATTCTTCGTCCCACCACCCTCTCTTTCTGCCCCACTTTCCTAATCTCCTCTTCTCCCCTAACACCTTATACATAGCATATAAATATAACATACTATAGATTAAGACACTAGAGCCATATATACTTGTAGTTCCGTTAGATCCAAACTAACCAATCACAACACTCTTTTTAGACAACTTTCCCTTGGATTCATTTTGCTGCACCCGCATGAACGCGGCTTACCTCTCAAACAATGCATGAGCCTCATCCCTATCTGTATTACTCCGTTTTTGGTTTCAACTCTCGGGCAAACAGCCTCTTCCACTGTCTCTCCTAGCGAGCTGGCCCTTCTTCCTCATTCCGAAGTCGAGAGCAGTGCAGAGTAGTCTGAGTCGTGGTTCAGGTTACTTAAGTTCCAGTTCTGCATTTCTCAAGTTCTCGCATCTCGACCGAAGCCGTCAAGTCCATTTCGCATTTACGGGTCCTTTCTCTACATCCTAAGAATCCAGCGTTTAGAAATAAGCAACGAGTAAATTGTGTCATTATTATTATTTTCTAATCTTGTTTTTCTTAAAACTATATTGATTTAGAATAATCAATTAAAAGTTACCTTCAAGATTGCATGTTAAATAAAGACTCAAGTATTCAATTTGTTGTTTGCACTTGCGCAAAAATAAACAGAACTGTACTGTAGTCAAGATTCTTCAGAATATATATATATGCTTATTAAACTCAACTCGAGATACACACTATTATTTAACTTATATAATATAAAGAACTTATTATCCTTAACTTCTTGCGTAGACGCGCTCATCAAACAGCGCATCTCGTGACCTGTACCAAAGGAAGCGCCCAAACGTCAAATCGAGAGGCTTCCTTCCTTTCGCAAACTCTTACGGCGTCACCACGCGGTCGAAGCGTGGGTTTCGCCATATTGAAAGACGTCGCGTTTCTTTCTGTCTTTGTCTAAGCGTGAGTGTCGCCATATTAGAAGGTCCTCGCGTCTAGCGTCCTCTCTTTCTACCAAGAGAAGGAACGCGCCCGAACGGCGCATCTACTTAAGGTATTGTGTTATACTTCTTTATTTTACAAACAATAATAATTACGAGTGAACTATAATAATCGTGTCGAGACGCATAATTAAATGAGTGTTAAATCGTAGATGCCGAAGAACAAACGCGGAAATTGCGCGGTGTGGCAAAAACAAAGGTGGCGTCAAATAGTTGAATGGGTCGAGAGCACCTTGCACCAGCCGCTTAGTGCTGACGTCGATTACTTCGTGATTCTTGGTAACAAAAAGATAGAAGTAGACATCGAAATCCGGAAGTGGAAGAAGTTAATTCTCATAAATACTACCCATTGGTATTATACGGTGACGTTGCCAGGAAGTAATCCACGGTACCGCGTGTACCAAGAAAAACTCGTATGTAAAGTGTTACCCGCTTCTCCTGTAATTACGCTAGATTAAATAAATGTGTATTTGAGTACGTCAATCTCCGCTTAACGGTGTAGTCATTTACCTGTGACGATATTTCGACCATTAGCAAAAATACAGGTTAGGTCGATGTCGTAAAGTGTCGAAATATCAGCGGCACAGGGATAACGAAATTTACTGTTCGGATTGCATGTTTCAACTCAATATCGGATTGTATTGTATACTCATCAAAATTCACGGGGTGGTCATCGGGACTTCTGCCGATATTGTCCAATGCGGTAGGTGCACCAACGAGCATAACTACCGTTTTACCAAGCGTGCGCGATTGCGAAGAATGCCATAGGCATTACCTCGACTTTATAGCTCGCAGATTTAAACATATTAATTATTTCAAATAATTTTCACAAAATTTAACGAACTCCTCTCAACTCTAGTGCAAACGCGTTTAAGCAGTCATATGTTCGTGGACCGACAATCTTTACTGTCTAGATTGCGCTAACAATATTTCGCCGGAAAAATCCCGTGACAAAAGAAATTATCACGTGCCAGTAAGTAGTCAAAGTGTAAAATCTGGGTTTATTTAGTGCAAAATTTAACGAACTCCTCTCAACTCTAGTGCAAACGCGTTNNNGCNGTCATATGTTCGTGGACCGACAATNTTTACTGTCTAGATNGCGCTAACAATATTTNGCCGGAAAAANCCCGTGACAAAAGAAATTATCACGTGCCAGTAAGTAGTCAAAGTGTAAAATCTGGGTTTATTTAGTGCTGCCAGTGTTGGGCGAATATAGTGCAGATTCAAGCCGCGTACGACTGCAATATTTGTGCGCATCAATCTCTTCCCAGTGATTTGGAATAGCGAGTCGTTTAATGATATTTCCGTACTCGCATCTTGTTACGTCCGAGTGCGCAAGGTCACGGCCGATGAAAGTTTACACTTGCTGAACGTACGTTCTCTCTTTTCGGTCAGCCGACTAGGCGTTATCGGGGCGGAAAATGAGGATTTTCGTCGGGAATTTGATTGGACTGACAATTACTGATCGTTATTTTGGTTATCGACAGTTACCGACTGTCGTTCATTTACCGACAGTTTATTGACGGTCGTTTGATTACCGACAGTTACCGAGTATTGCTCGATTATCGACAGTTACCAATTGTCGCTTAGTTACCGACAATTATCGATCGTTGTCTGGTTACCGACAAATACCAACAATCGCCTGATTATAGACACTTACCGAGTGTTGCTGAGGTTATTCTCGAGGTATGGTAAAGGAATTATAGATATGTTCTGAAGGAGTTACTATTTATTATTTACTCTCAAAGTAAGATACAAGGTTTTATGACAATTTTCCATGTATGTTCTAAATCGCGGATCTGATGGCGGAATGGTGGCTGGGTATACCACCTTCTTTTTAGTGATCGGTATTAGCTTTCATTTGGGTTTAACTATGAAAATTAGATTTGTAAAGTTTTCGATAGCTACTATTTGCGGGACTCTACTCGCACTGCGTCCTTCGGCGTTCGTAGCACAGGTGTTGATTGCTTCCACAATCGAAGGATTGAACTGTCTGTCGCGCGCGTAATTCCTTAATAAGTGCCGCAGCTGATAGCCTCTACCTCTTTGTCGCGTGCGCCGTCTTCTTGTCACGTCCCGACATTTTTCTTTCTGTATTGTCCGCAATGACGTTAAACTACAACTCTACGACGACCATCGTCCGCAATTACGTTCAACTACGGAAAAAAGGACCACTCTATTATAATCGCTGTGACGTTTTTTCGCTGTGGTAACGTAATTCTCGCGCTGCTCCCTCGCAAACGGAGAATACTTTCCGTGACTCAGGTGAGCGTCCGCGAGAAGACAACGTCGAATCACGGGCAGGACAGAAAAGATGGCCCGGAACGAGCACCGCCGGGTCGAGTCGACGAATATTTGGTTATAATTTTGGGCGCCAGACGCGGAGTCGCGTCAAAAATCAGCGTCACTCGGCACGACGGGCCGACTAGCTCTTTTGGGAACGGAGAAGAGCTGAGTTTAGTAAAAATTCGGAATGCAGGTTGTCCCTTGACCACGCGATAGTAAGCTCAAGTAAAGGAAGAAGAGTTAGAATAAATCAGCACGAGTTAATAATTAATTTGACAAATTATTACGCGTGTAGAAAAGCAGAGATAATATAAAAAAAATGATATGAAGAATAGTAGAAAAGAAAAGATGTTACACTGAGGATCGCAATTAGGGCGACTGGCTCACCCTGCTACGCAGCTTTCGCCGGTTTTGTGTCGCTAGGCCCAAAAGATTACGTCAAGCCGATATCTCAATCTACGCGCATGCACTCAAAAAAAAATACTCGCAATACAGAGCGAAGTAGCTGCGACGTCGGAGGTAGCTTTTCCCTTTTGATTATCACAAAACGATTAGCAACGCTCTTTATCTTGGCGCTAGGAAAATCGGCGGTACAATACGTTACTCGATTGCGAATAATCCCGGACACCTTATACGCTCGAAAGGCGACACGCATTCACCGTACGCTTGCAAATAGTTTGGCGATAATTGTTTTGAAAATTTACTATCCGAAACTGTCGTTAATACGCACGTTAGT